TTTATTTATTTATTTATTTTTTTTTTTTGCAAATTATTTTGAATAATTTTAAAAATTGAAAGAATTCTTTAAAAACGTTTTGCAAAATTAAAAAATTTTTTTTCAAAGATTGATTTGTGTATTGGTTATTGATCATTAATTGTTTTTTGGTTATTTGTACGACTAAGCAGTACGGTTCTGTTTTGATAAGTGGTCTTACTGCTATTCAACTGCACAGATTTACTGACAAAATTGATAGCAGTGTAAAACTGTTAGCAGTATAAAGTAGTAAATAATTTTGAATTTACGATACAGCAGTGGCAATTAAAAACTATAAAAATGGATCAGTGTTTAGTGGAAAGTGTTGCAAATAAATCTGTTAGAAATAAGATTAACCTTTATGCTTATTATACGTATACGGTCTATCATACAGTTATAGTATAAATCTTTGGACTCTAAAAAATTGATATAATGCAGAAATTTTTTTTTTTCTATCAAAAAAAGAATTTTTTAGAAAATTTTTTTTTTTTTCTCGTTGAACTGCAGATATTTTTGCCCACAAAAATCTGCAGATAAACTTTGGCTTGACACTGGTGGCGAACTGATAGGTTGTGTGTATGTGTTTTTTTTTGGCCGTTAATTTGCTATGAGACCTTGGTGTAAACATAGTTTTTAAGACTGTTTTAGTGAGAACCGCTATGATGGATGGGTGTCAACTTCAAAAAAAGGGAAAAAGGTAGCAGATAAAGTAAAAAAAAAAACAGTCATAAAATCTCAAAAGTTTATATGGTTTAAACAATTTTTGTTTTATAAATTTTGTGGTTATCTCTTTTTTGTTTTTTTATATTTCTTTGTTCTTTTTTATCCACTTATATTTCTTTTATGTTTTTTTTTCGATATCCTATATATATATGTGCATTTATATAGGTATCTATTCTAAACTGTTTTAAACATTTTCTTACAACTGTTTCTCTTATCGTATCTCATTCTCTGTTTTGCCGCTATCGTTTCACTTCGCTGTAATTAACCGTGAAAAAAAAAAAAAAAAAGAAGAAAACTTTCACTCATTTTGCTGAATGTCTGTTGTTTATGACCTCTTTTGACATCTGTGACACTGTAATATCTCACAAAATTGTTC